GACAGTAATAGCTTTCCTGAAGTCACAATATGTCAAAATGTAGAAATAACTCATTATTTCTTGAAAAAAAAAAGAAATAAAAAGGAAACTCAGTACATGCCAACATCAAGATGACAAACATGTTAGGGGATTATTTAACAAAAAAAAAAAAAGTTTAACTCCAACAATGTAAAATGCTCCAACAAGTAATTACGAATGCACTTAAATGAAAAAACTGAGTATTCAGCAAAGAAGTAGAAAAACAGAGAAATGACATTTTTGTGAAAAAATAATAATAATAATTCCAAGGCAGTTAATTCCTCATTAGAAACCACGAGGACCGGAAGGAAGCAGCACAATATTTTTTAGATGTTGAAATAAAATAGTTCTGAAACAAGAATCCTATATTCACTGAAAATATCCTTTAGGAATGAAGCAAAAATCAATACATTATCAGATGAAAGAAAGCCAAGAGAATTTGTTGCCAGAAGACCCATCCTTTTTTAAATGGCTAAAGGAATGTCTCAGAATGATATCAAAAGATATACATAAGAATCATGTAACATCAGGAGAGAAGACAGAAGACAATCAGCAAATATATAAAGACAACTGACTTTCATCCTCCTTTCGAGTCTTCTAAACTATAATAGCTGAAACGAAATTTGTAACATTCTCTGATGCAGCAAGAATATAAAATAGTATCTAATACAGTTGTCAGGTGCCAGAAATTAATTGCTCTTCATATATTAACTCATTTACTACATAAAACAACTCAATGAGACTCTTGAAATGGCTTATCCCCCAGCTCCATTTCTCATCACTTGGAATATATTAAGTAGGAAATTATAATCTGTGCCTGAACATCACAAAATCTTTTTTATGATGTTGTTTTCTTCTCCACCTGTATTTTTCCTAATGCGAAACTTACTTAAAGCTGGATGAAACTTATTGTGTCTTTTGAGTTTGACATTGCTCTAAACCCAAGGCTATGACTATAGAACAGACAACTGGAAGGTAACAAAAACAAAGATCAGAAAAAAAAAAATATCCTAGCCAAAAAAAAAAAATGTGCATCAATATTTAATGATGCCAAAGGTGAAGTGAGATAAACATTTTCTAAGTTTTCTTTTGCAGAAATCTAATATAATTCACTCCTTATGGGAAAAAAATCATATTTATTTAAAAGTACCTTTAATATGCTCCTATCTTCTTAGCCATTCATTTCTTTCCTAAGAATGTATCTTATGAAATAATTAAGGTGTAGACAAGTGTTTACAGACAAACTACTCACTGCTGTAATAACATTTCAAAAGTAAATATATATGACTTACTATGGCCATTAAAAATAACAGTGCTTCTAAAGAATGTTAACTGCTTAAGATTCAAGATAAAAAAAAACTAAAGGAAAAAAATAAAACCCAAAATCTATATGCAGAGTGTGATATCTGTGTTGCATCTACACATACCATACTCAAACATAAGCTGGAGAGAAATGCACAGAAATGTTAAATGCATTTTTTCAGAGTGGCAGAATTATGGCTACTTTTGTTTTCTTTTTATGCTACTAAAACTTGATCTCCACAAGAGCACACAATGCATCTGTGTTATTCATTGCTATATTTTGAGTATGTCTCCAATATAATGGATGCTAAATAAATATGTGAAAGAACATTTTTCTCTATTTCCTAAAATGAAAATCTATTTCTTTCTAATAGGACAACTTCAATCATTACTAAAAAGTATGTGTCTGTGTGTGTGCATGTATTTAATGGGTACTTAAGAAAATTATATTCATGGGGTTTTAAAATATTTAAATTCATATATATATGGGAATTTATATATCATATTGTTCCAAAAAAAAAAGATTTTTCTCCAAAACCCAAGCTTGAGCACCCAGAACATCAAATCTTTTTGGTTGTTTCCTTTAATCAACATAAAATACTTTGGAACTATGTCTATTTCCAAAATCTTTCTGACTTTATGTTTTCCCCATTATGCTCAATTTGCACACCAAAAAGTAAAGTTAGATTAATAGGTAGACAGATAATATAACTAAGGGGAATAATTTCAACACTCATTAATAAAATACTTTGATAGAGCTCATGGGGTTTTTTGTTTTATAAATAAACATTAAACCATATTTGAAATGAAATTCTATATAAGTGATTATCAGAATTACATGAAAAGTATGAAATTCTCAATCAAAATTTCATTCAGTCATACAGACAGAAGAAACCTGGGACCTGAAGAATAATTGATGACAAAAACTCTTTGATTGCAATTTGTGGAGGTTGGACTAGTTTAAGCAAAAAAGAAAATTTAATGATTCCTGCATTAGGAAACCATGGATACCACAGCTTCTACCACAATGAGGTCAAGGCTCAAACATTATTATCTGAAACAGTTAAAAATGATATCAGCAAGATGTCTGACTAGCAATGTCTGACACAGCTGTCAATACACATGCAGAGAGAGAGAGAGAAGGAAAGGAAAAGAAAGGATGAAAGGAGGGAAAGGAAGGGAAGGGAAGGGAGGGGAAGAGAAAGGAAGAGGAGCGGGAAGGAAAGAAACAGCTGCTCCACTAGAGTGTTTGAGGAAGAGCACCACAGTGCAGTAAGGATGCAGCAGGGATATCCCAAAGCATAGAAACAAATGATGGCCTTATGAAGAATGGAATTAAGCACACAGCATCCAACATCCCATCTCTTTAGAGATCAGCCTGAAACACTGAAGAGGGACTCTGCTTGTTAGGGAAATGGTAAGCAGGAGGCCCCCAAAAGTTGACATTAATCCCACAGAAATCTTAAGTGTTTTCTGCTAGAGAATTCTGCAGTCCTCAGGCCCTAGGCCTCGTTTGGTGTGCTGATGGGAAATCTATAATACTGCTTTACCCCAGAGAAAGAGCTTAGCCCATGTTATGCCCTCTCCCACCCAAGCACCATATTGAGATCTACCTACAGTAGCAGATGTAGCTGCCTTCAGCAACTTGGTCAACGTAGCCCTATGAACTAGCCAGGTGGCCCTACCTACCTTCCCACAGTCCCAAGAATCACCTGGGAAACCACCCTGAGAAGCTTGGCCTGCTGTGGCTCCTGGGAAACAGGTACCCCCCTCTACCTACCCTTGGCTTAGGAAAACAAACAACCCACCCTGAACCACTGGGTCCATCAAGGACCCAGAGAAATAGAAAGGTAGCCCTATTCACCCATGCTATGTCCTGAAAAGTAACCAGTAGCCCTGCCCACCAACCCTAAACCCTACCCATCTGTCTTTGGTTGCTAGAAAGAAGCCAGGCAGCCTGTTCTGAGTGAATAAGCCCGCCAAGGCCCCCGGGACGCAGACAGACAGCCCTATCCACATATATCTGGCCCTGGGAAGAAGCTGAGAAACCCACCTTGAGCAGTTGAGGCCTCTAAGATTTCTAGGAAACAGTTGGGAACCCCTGCCCACTCTCCTGTGGCCCTGAGAAGCAAGCAGACAACCTGTCCTAACGTCTGCCAGCCAAGACCCAAGAAAACAGGTTGCCCTGCCCAGTCCTTCTTGTAACCTTAGGAATCAACTGAGCAGCCCAGCCTGTGTAGTTTGGACCACTGAGGCACCTATGCAGCCCTCAAACAGTAATAGGCATATAATCCTTACTGACAGGCACAATATATCAAGCCTACCTGGGTACATTAGAGTGGTCTCACTCACAGACAACCCTCAGAAATTTGAGTTTCCCCACATCTACTACTGTGCCAGCAGCATCTCATCTGCATGGGTCCTTCCCCACATGAACTATGGAAACAGACCGGTGCCCCACACCTGCAGCCATACACATCATATCTAAAGACACCAGCAAACCCATCCCAGCAGCTGGAGCAATCTCACAAATCCATGCAGCCTAGGCCATTGAGACACCTGCAGAAATTGCCAACAGTGATTATAGCAGAAACAGCTACACAGACATATAACTACTGTACCCAGATGGAACCAAAGCCAATGTACCTATCCAGTCAATATCCTTGTACAGATCTCCAGGGCAAGTCTTTTACTTGTGTGTAGATAGGGCTGTCTGTCTGCATCCCAGGGGCCTTGGTGGGCTGATTCACTCAGAACAGGCTGCCTGGCTACTTTCCAGCAACCAAAGACGGATGGGTAGGGTTTAGGGTTGGTGGGCAGGGTTATTGATTACTTTTCAGGACCTAGCATGGGTGAATAGAAACCACCCTTTGAAATTGGTTTAGGCAACTCATCTACCATATCAGTTATTACAAATATCAACATATGGACACAAGAAACATGAAAAACAAGGTAACATGCCACATTCAAAAGAGCATAGTCTAGCAACAGACCCAAAAGAAAAGAAAACTGACAAATTTCCTGGAAGAGAATTCAAAATAATGATTTTAAGGAAACTCAAAAAGGTGGGAGAGAATACAAATACACAATTCAATGAAATTAAGAAAACAATCCATAATCTGCATGAAAAATTCAGCAGAGATAAAGATTATAAATAAACAAGAACTAAAGAGAAATCCTAAAATTAAAGAATTCAATAAATGAAATAGAAGTGGATCACCTATTATAAGGTAGCCAGACAGAAGTGCGCAACACTCACCTTCTTCACAAATAACAACAAATGAATAGCTGAATTTCAAGGTGAGCTGTTGAGGGAGAGCACCAGAATAGCAGGGGAGAGATGAAACCCTAATAGGATATAGATACTTGGAATGTCAGCATGAAAAAAGAAACAAAGCACAGGGCAGCTGCAACCCCAGCTTCCTGGTCAAAGAAATTACCAGTTGTGAGGGAAAGGGTAAACAGGAGAGTCCCAGCAGAACTCATCACCTTGAATGCTGACAATCCAAGCTCCAGGAGAGTTCCGCAGTCATCATAAGAGCCCATAGGATCCCCTAGAGCCCAATGAGGGAAGGAGTTGAGTCTTCACAGAAGTTTTGCTTCAGAGAAGGAACTCACATTGTCTCCAAAAAACTGTCAGAAATGTGAATTTGGTGTCAACATACCTTATATACAAACAGAGAGAGAGGGCCGGCGGGGGCGGGACAGCACGCGCCTGCGCAAAGGGCCGGCTGGGCTGCGGCGCATGCGAGCATGGTTTGGCTAAGTTGCTGAGGCTGGTCTCAAACTTGGAATCCTCCTGCCTCAGCTCCCAAGGTACTACAGACCCGCAAGATGGAGACAGAATCGGGATTGATGGGATTCAGCAATTCTGTGACGATCTAAGGCTGGACCCCACCAGCATCAGTGTTCTGGTCATAGCATGGAAGTTCAGGGCTGCCACTCAGTGCGAATTCAGCAGGAAGGAGTTCATGGACGGCATGACCGAGCTGGGGTGTGACAGCACCGAGAAGCTCAGAACCCTTCTGCCCAGCCTAGAGCAAGAGCTGCAGGACTCCGTGAAGTTCAAGGACTTCTACCAGTTTACCTTCACCTTTGCTAAGAACCCTGGGCAAAAGGGCCTAGGTTCAGCTCCATTTCCCAATGGGAGAGCTTGTCATCATTAAGATGAGTCGAATATAGACCTCACTTAGGGTTCTTCCTAAGTGGTGAGGATGTAGGCTTATGAGCAGAACGAGATAATCATCTTAGCATTACCCTGCGAGTCCCCTAAATTTAGAAATGGCTGTTGCATATTGGAACTTAGTGTTATCGGGAAGGTTTAAATTTTTAGATCTTTGGAACACATTTCTGCTGGAACATCACAAAAGATCAATTCCACGGGACACTTGGAACCTTCTGCTAGATTTTGGAAACATGATTGCAGATGATATGTCTAACTACGATGAAGAAGGAGCGTGGCCTGTCCTCATCGATGACTTTGTGGAGTATGCACGGCCAGTGCTCACGGGTGGAAAACACAGCTGAAGGTGGAGCAGGTCTGGAGCCAGCCCACATCCTGCAGGGCACACCGGGTGGTGCTGTGTGCTTGGCTACCAGTCTCAGCCACTGTCCTTGCCATCCCAAAGCTGGAATGCATCCTCCTGCTCAGAGCCACGATGTCTGGGGCAGGCTCCGTGGGGCTGCTCCCCCCAGAGGACAGCTGCCGCAGGGGTCGGCCCGCTTGCTGCAGCTGCTGCTTTAGGAGATTGCTGTCTGATGCAGGTTCAAGGTGAACACCAGCAGTTACCACTCGCACCCCGTCACATTGTGATCACAGTACAGAGCCCTGTCTGTCCTGGGAGGATGTGGATATGTCAAGTCAGACGGCCAGTGCCAGGATGCAGCTCACCCAGGGACCCAGCGCTGTTCCTCCTGGGCTTGTGCTGTCTCCCTGGTTTGGATATTTGTTCTCTCAGGATGTTTATCTGAGACCCATTTTATATTTAAGGCCCCGTTGCAGTCTGCAGTGGTGGTGTGTGTTGGCGTGACTGCAGCAATCAGACTGTTGTCTTTCTGACAATGCTATTTCAACTTCCTGAGAAATTCTGTACTTTTAATATTTTTTATTTAAAAAGACATTTTTCCATTTTTCCTTTTTGAGTGGTGAATTACAAATTTAAAATCAAATGCTCTTGTCCCTTTCACCTGTCTGCAGTCCCACAATGCCCAGCGTCTGGCCCTCTTACAGCCATCCTCATGTGGACGCAAAGCCCACTCCTGGACCCTCATCTCTTTTGCAAGCTACAGCCTGAGTTTACGCCCAGAGCCACTGGTGTGCGAGGTGCAGAGGCCCCGGGGGCCACTCTCCTGCTGTTGAGCTTCGAGCAGCACCGTGCTGACCTGAGCACGCACTACAAGACCTTGTCCACAGTGTGCCTTGCTGCCCTCCTGCAGCATGCCGTGGAGAGGTGGGCCGGGCTCTCTGGGCCATCTCCATGTCCTGTGCACAGGGTGCCCCTGGAACCTGCTCTGTGCTTAGCTTCTGTGTGGACATGCCACAACCTTAGGGAGCAGCCCCTCGCAGCCTGAGGACCATGTGCCCTGCAATGTGGGCAACTACCAGTGCTGCAGAGTGGAAGCCTTGCAGAGAGCAGCAGGGACGGAGGCCTGAGGGCGAGGCTGGTCTGTTTAGGGCGGGCCATGTGACCTTTCTCAGGCTCTCTTGCCCTGTCTGAAAGAGGAAACAGCCATCTCTAAGTCTAACTCAGCATTTCTTCAATAAAATAAACTCTGGCTGTAATAAAAACCCAAGAAGCAGTACAGCACCCCCCTAGACTGCCTGGACTCTTGTTCTGTTCGGAGAAGTTTGTAGAATTCAGTGACTAAGTGAGGGAGGGAGGCCCGCAGTCCTTCTGTATGTAAGTTTGAAGTTCTGTGGGACTGTCAATAGATACTGAAGTGAAGTTGGTCAGACTTCAAAGACCTGTGTTCTGCTGCTTCCATTAGTCAACCTTTGAGTCCTGCATGCTGCAAAGATGCTAAGAACTTCAAAATACCGCAATAAAGTGTTTTCCCCAGAAAAAAAAAAAAAACAGAGATATGATAAATTGTGGTATAAAGGTGTATTGAGAATTGTAATACAAAAAAAAAAGAGAGCTCATGTATAATGGCATAATTTGGTGTGAACATACTTTATATACAGAGTTACGAAAAATTGTGCTGTGAATGGATAATTATGAATGTAATGCACTCCACTATTGTAATATATATAAGAAATTAAAAAAAAAAGAAAAGAAAAGAAACTGCTATAGCACAGTGCAATCTTAAGAACAGAGCTACTATTAAGAGTCTACAATGTCCTAAGAAACAGACAACAGACAACTCTACATATCTCCATCACTGGGGCTCCACAAATATTCTCCCACACTCAAACAAAAGTTTGTAGCTTTGTGAACCTAACTATAGCTGGCTGTGCAGTTGTGACCCCATCCACGCAGTGCCCTGAACTATAGGGGTCAGGTGGTCCAGCACAGAAATAGGTGCCTCTTTCAAGACCTGAGCAACCAAGGCCCACTGCCCCCCACCTGCAAGTGTATCCTCTACTGTCTGCTGCTGCTCACCACTACAGGGCCTGAAGATACAAACTCTTGAGATCACTTCCCTTCCCCTACCCCAGCCACCTCCATCACTACCACTGCCACCACTATCAGCACACATTGCTCCAGGACCTGAGGACTTTCATCAGGCCTCCAAACAGAAATGACCTCTATTGTCTATTAAGTCAGAAATGACCAATCCATTTTTTGTTCTTTGCTTCTGCTTTGTTTCAGCCATTCTATAAATTCAACCTTTTCTGCTCAGCTTGTTAGAACACGTACTCTACTTAATGCAATAAAGTGTTGCCAATTCTAGAACCAAAAAAAAAAAGTTAAAATCTTCAAACTAAATTGTTATAATTTTGTCCTTTGACACTAACATACTAGATTATTCCTGTGATTTGCTGAGAAACTATTATATTAAATGAAGAACATTGGTAGTTATATGACAATTGTTTTGCTTTGCCCCTACAAAGAAATATTACACAATGAAGTAAAATATATAAACTTCCATTACTTGCATGATTATTGTGTCAAAGTAAAAGTTATTGTCTTTATTACTCCATGAACATTAGAAGCACTTTACCACATTAAAAAAGCATAAAATGCTAAATATATATCTAGGAATACATCTTATGTCAAGGGTTATAATTTATGACTAAGAGAAAAAGATATATGGCTATAATTTTGTATATTTAGCAATATTAATAGTAGAAATAAGCAATGAAAACTCTTCCAA